TTTTTTTTTTTTTTTAAATGGTAGAATTGTGCAACTTCTTAAATGGGGCATCTACTCCTGTAATTGAGGAGTGCTCTGACATGTTGAACATTTTTTCACTGAAAGAGTGGTGTATTGGGCCTTTGGGACACAATTTACATATGGTTGTATATGCCTGAAATAGGTGAATATTGTCAGCATGTCATTATTTATCCTAATTTCCATATTTGATAACTTCCAGAAACTTGGGAGCTTTATGGAGATGCTATTTGGGGGTCGCTACGTTCTTCTTTTGATGTCACTTTTTTCAATTTATTGTGGACTGATTTACAATGAATTCTTCTCTGTTCCTTTTCACATATTTGGTGGGTCTGCTTACAAATGTCGAGATCCTACATGTAGGTATGTGCTGTTATTCTTAGATCCCAAAGTAAAAGCAGAATCATATGCTCTAGTTTCCATTTAGAAGCATTGTAATTTGTTACACTCTCATTTGATGCCATGATTTTGTTGCTATCTTGTTTATGAAAGACTTTAACCACTATTGTATAAGTATATCAAATCTGATTTGCTCTTTCTTAGTCAGGTTTCTACAGCTCTTCACCTGCGATTTGGTACAAATAAGGATATAACCTTTTAAAAATTTTCTAATTAAGAATATGATCTTTCTTCTTTACTAATCAAGGTTACCACCTTTCAAAAATTTTTAATTAAGGATATGACCTTTGCAATTTTTCTAAATAGGATTAAGTGGATGTGCAATGTCATATCCTTGATTGGAAACTTTTGAAAGGTGGTAGTGCTGATCAGAAAAATTGCAAAGGTTATATCCTTAATTAGAAACTTTTGAAAGGTGGTAGCCTTAATTAGTAAAGAAAAAAGGTTATATCCTTAATTAAATTTTTTTTGAAAGGTTTTGTACTTATTTGTACCAAATCTTCTCTTTACCTCCACTTTACTAGACCGTAAAAGCTTCTAATTCTTTTTACTAAGTGTTTAACTGTGGACTATTTTCTCCTTTTCCTTCCTATTTCTAAAATGTCTGACAATTTCAATTGCTTCATCAGTGATGCACAGACGGTTGGTTTAGTTAAATATCGAGATCCATATCCATTTGGTGTTGATCCTAGCTGGCGTGGCAGTCGCTCGGAGTTGCCTTTTCTAAATTCTCTTAAGATGAAAATGTCAATTTTACTGGGTGTGGCTCAGATGAACCTAGGAATCATATTAAGTTATTTCAATGCACACTTTTCTGGAAGCTCTCTGGATATTTGGTGAGTCTTCCATCTAGTTGCCTCATTTCTTTTTGACTGTGAAGTAGATTACACTG